GGGCGGCCCCCCACTCGGGCCCCCCCGCAGCGCCTACTCCCGCGCCCACTCGGGGCGCCCACCCTGCCCCAGCCTGCTCCCTCCATGGGCTGGGCAGGGGGAGGCGGGCTGCGTGCCTGGGCCTCTCAGGCCCCCTCCGCCAGCTCTCCGCAGGGTGGGCGCTTTGCCCCGCAGCCCCAGCCCTTGGGCGTCCCCCGCCTCCGCCTCGCCCCGCCCCGCCCGGCCACTGCCCCTTGGAGGCCTCGGGACGTTGCAGCCAGTAGGCCCCTTGCGCGCCGCGTGTGCCCTCTGGTCCCCAGAGCCTCCGGAATGCGACGCCCCGCCTCCCCTTTCATCCCCCCATTCCGAAATGCCCGGTTCCCGCCGGGCCCAGTGGCAGGATTTCGGCTGTGGCGGCCCCGGTCACATGGCCGGGAGCACAACTCCCAGCGACAGTGTTCCTGCCAAATCCAGTGTCTTTTCCACCAAATACACTTTCCGCTGGGGATGGCTTTCTGCTTTTCCTGGTCGGTCACCTCGTGGGACTGGGAGTTCCTCCAAGGCAGGAGTGGGGTGTGCCCGGCCCCAAGCTGGCCCCTGCCCCCCAGTGCGGGGCCTGGCACCAGCCTAGCGCTCAGGGAAGAAATGCTCATTAATAAAGGCGGCGTGAATGAATGAAACCAATTGTTGCACGAGGCGGGTGCTGCTCCTGCCTTTTCTCTCAGCGGGTTGCACACTGCCCGTCCCCCCCCCCCCACGCACAAGCACACGTGCACACTTATTACTCCCCCCAACACACACGCAGACACACACGCACTGCGTGAATTCCTGTCTTCGCGGAACCGACCTACTACGTGCACTGCGTCCACATCAATGCCTGCCTCTCCTTTCCTCCTCCCCGACCCCCACCGGCGCCCGCATATCTAAGCACGGTACCTTGCGCCCCCAGTGCCTTCTTTATCTCTTAGGGAAGAGGCCAAACCGGTCGCTGGGGAGACTCAAAGTCTGTTTAGGGAGGCACCTGGGGGCCCTCAGGATGGCAAGCCGCCTCCGAAGGCAAGTCAGAGGCGCTTGGCAGGGATGTCACCAAATGCTGCAGCCTCTAGAGCCCGCGTGCCAGGTGTTGGGGGTGGTGGTGGGAGGGACTGGGGATGTGCTGGGGGCTGTTGAGGGCTATTTGTGACGGGGGCGGGGCGGGGTGCTGGAGAGCGGGAATCCAGCAGGTGTGCATACGTGTTGGGGTCTGTGTGTGTGCTGGGGAGTGGGCCTGGCTGAGGAAAGTGGGGAGTGTCAGCCCCTGGGGTGTGGGTTAGTGTTGGGGCTTCGCTTGGGGTAGGTGGATTGCAGTGTCTCTGGGCTGGGAATGTGGGTGGGGTGTCTGTAATGAGCATATGGGGAGTCGGAGATGGTGGGGGCACGGCGAGGGGAGCTGTGTTAGTGCAGAGAGCAGGGATGTGTGGGGAATATGTATGTGCCTGGGTGTGTATTGAGGCGTGGCAGGGTCTGGGATGGGTGCTGGCCTGAGTTGGGGACAGTGCTGGGTGGGAGGTTAGGGGCTGCTGTTTGCACTGCAGGGACCTGGGTCCGCGTGCGCATAAGTGGCAGGGGGTGTGCGTGGCTGAGGACACGGGAGGCGCACAGGCGGAATGTGGGGGGTGTGCGGTGGCAGGACCAGGCGGGTCTCGCAGGGGCGCGCGCGTCGGCCCCGTGGGGTGTGCGTTGGCAAGACTTTGGGGGTGCAGGGTGGAGGAGCGCACGTCGGAGGGCGGC